TTTTTTTTTCAATAATTAAAAAAGCAAAGCAGTACTAAGAAACAGCAAAGCATAATATTTTATATAAATTGTTTTGTCATCTCATTACTGTAAAATATACCCAAAAAATCAAGAGTATTTATCAAACGAAAAAGCTTTAAAAAACGAAGAATAAAAGATGACAGGTTGACTTACCTAATTATCATCATAAAAAAGCGAAGGAGAATGAAATACGGAAAGAAAAGCGTATTTATAAAAACAAAAATGCCCTTTACACTTCAAAGTGACGATTTACGATTCGATAACCAAGGGGAGAAAAAATTACCCTCCTGTCGCTGACGCAAGAACAATTGGAATTGGGGACCCCGTCTCTTCTCATTGTCTTCTTTCTTCTACTTTTTTATCTGGTCCTTATCCTTTCGAAAGATAATTAGTCCTTCCAATTAAGAGAACGGTGTTTCTGGGTTCGATCTTTGATAGTGTGACAAATTTGAACTTGACAATTCAGTCAGTATTTCATTGTGTTTTTATAACTTTAGGCAGATCAAAATGTAAATGATAACAGAAAGCATTATTTTTTGTTAATTAATTCAATGAGTTTCTTTAGATTTCGTTGCGCTGTATAAGAAATATAAATTTTAAGCTAAAGTCCGTTTATTAGGGCAGGTTAATTAATCAAATGTATGAGCGTCGAATTCGAGCCACCCTGTACATATAGAAGGATATACATTTTGTATTATCGTAATTTAAGAATATAACAAATATAACAAACAAGAAAATATAACAATCCAAATAGAAAATTATATGACAATATAATAGCTGCTCAACGTAACAACGACCGATATCTAAAATCATCTTACTGGCAAGCAATTTTCCCAAACTAATTACAATAATAGTACAGTAACGGATACATATTCCGTTTGCAAATTAAGTTTCAAGCAATCGAACTGCACCACGCGACTGACACGTACGATATTCCCCAAGGTACGGCAACAACAGCGAAAATTGCCCGAGCGAACTAAATTATTTAAGTTATAACAAACCGTTAAATTAGAAAGTATTTGCGCAACAACGTACGATATAGCGCTAGGAGTGTTCTATTTTACAACTTAATTGGTTCCATTGGTTTTAATAATGCGGTCGAAATTTAACTATAATTTTCTGCTCGGCGCCATATTAATATTAACTTTATTACTTCAGTATCGTTTAAATTGCACTACTTTAATTAGGCCAATGGTGTTTATGATGTGCTCGCTTCAGGCTTCTAAATGAAGGTGTGTTTAATGCTTGCTTTACAGTTTTGCGTTATGTTATAATATAAATACACACACCGGAAAAATCTAGGGATATCATTTTATTAAAGTTAAAAATAAATGTTTTGGTTTGATTCTTTCTACTTCGATTGAAATGAAGTAGTCACACTATTTATTCCTAAATTTGGGATATTTGCAGAAGTGTTTGTGCATTATTTGTCAAATATATAAAAAGCACCTAGCATCAATTGTACGAATTTAACCTGTACTGGCTATGTTTTTATGATAACTGGCCAGAATTCATTCAAATAACTCTGTTTAGTATTAAACGACATTATGGAGCGTAGACATCTTAACAGAGACGAAATGCTAAGGGCCATGGGTATGCTCGAAGCTGGAATGCGCCAAATCGACGTAGCTAGAGCATTGAATACAACGCAAAGTGTAATATCGCGATTAAATGCACGCTACCGTGAAAGTGGTGATGTTGCTGAAAGGCACACAGGGTGACATCGCATTACTACCCCTCAGCAAGATCATTTTTTTACAATTAAATGCTCGACGCCGACCGACTATTACAGCACCAGAGCTTAGTTTAATTCTCCAGGAAACACATAATGTAACCGTTAGTCCTGACACTGCTCGCAATAGATTAAGAGAGACCAACTTAAGAAGCAGACGCCCCTGGAGAGCTCAACCCTTAACGAGAGGAAATCGAGAGGTACGATATTTGTGGGCTCAAAATCATGTTCAGTGGTCGAATAAACAATGGGCCAATTTTCTCTTCACGGATGTGTCACGCTTTGGAATTCATCCGGATTCGAGAAGGCTTGAGATATGGAGAGAACCGGGAAATATTATTTGGTTGGATCATGTTCAGGAAGTGTACCCTTATCAAGGTGGAACAGTTGTGGCCTGGGGAGGAGTCCAGTTAGGTCAAAAAACGGATCTCGTTTTTCTTGAAAGGTTTCTAACAGGAATCACATATCGTGATTTAATTCTTGAGCCTGTCGTGTTACCCTATGCCAATGATTTTGGGAGAAACTTCATTCTCATGCATGACAATGCACGGCCTCATACAGCCAGAGTGGTAAGTGAGTTTATCAATGCTCATCAATTAAACATCTTACCCTGGCCGGCACAATCTCCTGACCTCAACCCCATCGAGCACGTATGGGACGCGGTCCAAAGAAGAATTTTGAGAGTGGGTATGCCTCGTGAAACTCGTAGGGATCTGGTTCGGGCCGTGAATGCAGCGTGGCAGGCTGTACCTCAAGAAGAGATCGACAATCTGATCAGGAGCATGGGGAGACGATGTAGGGCTGTAATGAACAGTAGAGGAGGCCATACCCTTTATTAAGTAAAAATGGTTTTATCTTTTTTTTTACATATAAGTAAAAAAATACCGAGGGTGTAATATATGTCATACACTAACATATTATAATATTATGTACATATACTAACATACCAAATCTCGTTTTTTTATCTGAAAAAATAAATAAGTTATAGAGGTGAGCCACTTTTGAGACTTACCCTGTATAGTGCACATAATAACAGTTCATTTAATGAAACAAAATTTCAGTACTCAACTATAAATCGTCTGCTATCAATAACACTTAACCGAGGAAAAAATAAATTTATTCTTAATCCACACCATTCCCAAACTCCCCCAAAAAAGACACAATAAAGGCACGTAACCCTAATGGAAAGAAAAGCCGAAACGTATACCGCATACATCTCCTTCCGGAAATATATATTCCTTTCCCACTGGGCGATTTTTTCTAAGCTAAGCCCAAACTGCAAGATAAGTAGGAAAAATCGCGCGGCAATTTTCCTAATCTAATCTGCGAGGGAAAACTCTCCGTGTGTGTGAAAATGTGTCTGTGAGTGTGTTTGCCTCACTAATGAAATTGTTTTGGGCCATTTTTCCGTGGGAAAAAGCCGCTGGAAAGCCACTATCGCGTCGGTGACTTATGAGAGGAGAAGCAGCCAGTGCCAAGTGGAAATTTCAAATTAATAGCCTCGGAGGTTTGTGGAATGCAGGCTTTTAAAAAAGAATTATACGTAAAATGGTTGTAATTGAAAAGAAGTAGACTACTGGTTATAGTTTAGAGAATACTTTTTATAATTTGTAGGAAAAATAAAAGCTCTTGGCTAAAAAGTGGATACCAATTTTATGGATTATATTTTATTTCCCACTAATTTAGTAGAGATGGTCAAACAATCGATTGAAAGAGTATTAAATAGTGAGAGTGAGTTCATTCACCGCTTAGATTACGGTTTGTTTTTTCTTTTATTCTTTCGAATGTTCGTGAGAATTGATTCGTGTAAAAATTGATTCATTCGTTTAAATGAATATTAGAATTATTTAATGTGAGTGAACCAAGGCAGGTCATGCTCCTTTAAAGGCCAACTATAAAAAAGTCATAGTTATTGCAATGTGATGACAAATTCCTTCGACTCACACTAAGCTCGATTAAACTCAAGGACATAGACGCGGCGGCGAGTCGTTCGTGTCGCTATCTTGTTAGTGCGATCCCTCGCTTCATAGACTTCGGTTGTCGATGTTGAAATTGTAATTCGCGCGCACAGGGAAAGGTAAGTTTTTATGTAAATAACAAATTATTATCTTATTTTTTACTGTAAATTGTCATATAAGAATTTGTTATGGTACTAAAGAAAAATATATTAATTTTACTTTGATTTTATTTAAAATATCGGTAGTGTTCCTATGAAAGCCAGCGGTGGTTCCTTATAAGGCCAATCAAAAATTTGACGGCTGGCCTTGCTAAGGTACATGGGCCTTACTAAGAATGTTTACAAATTATGAAAATGTGAACATCTAATTTTTAGTTCGAAATGCGTACCGGGAAAGTTGAAACAACGTTTTATGTGTATAATATTATTATTATTTATAAGGGTTATTCAACTCTTTAGCTAAAAAAACATTAACTAAGAATAAACCATTTCCAATAATATATTTTTAGTTATACGATTGTATTCAAGGAATGTTCAAATAACCCTTTTTTGAGTTAACCAAGATATGATTTTTAAATGTCACTCTCGGTATATTTTTACTTAATTCGATGTAAAACGACATTTTGAATAGAATGACATAATATGTCAACTTTCGTTTAAAAATGTATTTTAAATTTCAATCTAGAGTGTCATAACTGGGTTAAAAACACTAATTTTTAATTAAAGAGCCAAACCAAAATAGATTTGATCGTCTCTCGTTGTATTTGATCGTCTCTCTAAGAGTCGTTTACTGTCTTATCCTGGCCGATTAAAGGATTCCCGGATCATATTTTTAAGTATATCTCAATTTTTTCAAATGGAACAAGGGTGGCTCATTAGCATATGGTGGAATAATTTGGTACCACACACTTGGCATAGCAAATCAAATTGTCGTTGATCTGCATGTTACATTTTCAAATAAACTAAACTTGCGTGCATAGAAATCGGCCCACTGTGAACTTTTGGCTTTAACTGTGTCTTTTAGATTCTATTTATCAGAGCAAGTAAAAACTATGAGCTGTTTCAAAGACAATTTAACATGCTTTGATATGAGTATAAATTTATCCAGAGTACTTATCATTTATATGCGTAGCAACGGGTAAACAAATGAAATGCATTGGTGTTGTGGTGACAATAAGAATAATAAACTTGTCAAATATTGCAATTACTACCTTTGTAATGGAAATTTTCACATTGTTCTTTCATTCTTTAATTAGTTGTATTTCATTGTTTGATTAGTGTTTCAATATAATGCATACATCACCGGAAAAAGCCGCCCAAGTAATCGCCTTAATCGAAAATGGACTGAAACAGAGAGCTGTAGCTCGGCAACTGCATATGACACGTGGAGCGGTTCGAAGAGTGTTTGAACGATATGAGGAGATTCGATCCTTTCGTAGGCGACCTGGGACTGGTAGAAAGAGATATACAACGGATCGTGATGACCGCTTTATTGTGTCAACAATGTTAAGAAATCGGCGTCTTAATGCTATTCAGGTGCAACAACAGCTCCGTGAAACAAGAGGAGTGACTATTAGCCAGTGGACAGTAAGAAGAAGATTGACTATTAGATTGTGGACAGTAAGAAGAAGGAAAGTAACATTACCCCCAAAACACCCGCAATTGGCCCAAAACTTACCCCAGCTCATCGTCAAGCACGCCTGCGTTTTGCACGGGAACATCTGAATTGGACACTAGAACAATGGGAATCTGTTTTATTTTCAGATGAGATCAGGATATGCCTCTATGGTAGCGACCAAAGAAGAAAAGTGTACCGGAGGCCAGGTGAGAGATTCGCAGAATGCTGCATTGAGGAGCGGATTGCTTATGGAGTTGGTTCCTGCATGATCTGGGGTGCATTTCTATGACTGCGCGAACCGACCCAGTTTTCATCCGTTGGGGCGACCGTCGGCACGGGAGAGGAGGTTTAACTGGTGCTAGGTATATTGAAGAGATTTTAGCATTTCATGTTGTACCTTACGTCGACTACATTGGAAACGAATTCACTTTTATGCATGACAATGTGAGGGCACACACATCAAGAATTGTACAAGATTACATTTCAGAAGTCGGTTTTCGGGTTATGGAATGGCCAGCATGCAGTCCAGATTTAAACCCGATAGAACATTTATGGGATGAGCTAAAACGAAGAATTCGTGCTAGACGAAGAGCCCCAACCTCTATCCCAGAGCTCATTGTTGCAGTAGAGGAAGAGTGGCTTAACATCCCGCAAGAAACAATATCAAACTTGATTGAATCTATGCCAAATCGTATGAGAAATGTTGTTAGAGCAAGAGGGTATAATACCCATTATTGAAAATTTAGTTTACTTAATTGTCCATAAATAAATTAATAAATAATAACATACCTCTCTTAGTAATAAAAAACGATAATTTGTTTCATGTATTAATTTAACAATTTTAATCCAAAAAAACTAAAATACAAATTAATATCTCCAACCTATTTTCAAAGAATATAAAATTGTCTTTCAAACAGCATATATTTTTTCTTAATCTGACAAATAGATTCTAAAAAAAATATAGTTAACTTCAAAAATTTGCCTTGGGCCGATTTCTATGCACGCAAGTGTATATGCAAAAATGTCAAAAGTTGACATACGATATGTCATTCTATTCATAGTGTCATTTTCTATCAAATAAAGTAAAAAATAAGAAGGGTGTTATTTAAAAATCAAAAGTTGTAGTAATTTATATTCATTATTGACAAAATTATAAATAATAATAAGGTGCCCGGTGGCGTAGGGGTACAGGCTCTCGTCTACCGATCTCAAGGTAGTGGGCTCAAATCCCATACCCGGCATTGCATCAGCCGACTATTTTTATTAAAATAAAAATAGTTTGGGTACCTAGGTCGACTGTACCTTGCTACTCATAAGGCGCTGAACGCTATATACGGGAGCTATTATTATTATAATTAATAATTTTAATTAAATAATATTTGATCGAAACATTAGAAATTTTAAATATTTATAAAAAAAAAAGAAAAAAACTTTGTAAAAATAAAATTTTACTAGGATTAATATTTCCTTACGCCTTCACGAATAGTTTAGTACGCAATAACAACTACGGGCTATCTGCAGAACTAGTTCGCGCAAAATAATCCTCAACGATAATAACATTATCCGTTCTAATCTCATAAAGAGGTAATTATATGGAAAATCAGTTAAGCGTTCTGTTTCCGTTGATATTCCGTATATCCGGCTAGAGCTAGACAGACTAGGCGGTTCTATCCCATCAACGAAACGAAATAATTCCGACGTCAGTATTTCTGGCATTTTATTGGGCCGAAGTAAGTTACGGCCATGTCGCTGGTAAAAGCGACGTTACACAATTTCCGGACAGGCAATTCGTAAAATTAAAATCCACACCCGCAGGCTCTGTCGTTCTAATTAATCCCTGCACGAAATGGAGTTATAGAGTTGTACTTTGGGCTGAAATGTTTTTTTGGTAATCTAAAAAAGGAATAGTAATTTTGCAGTATAAAGTTTTTCTTCTTTATGAGCCCTAAAGTAACAGAATATTATTTATTGGCTGTATTATATGTTAGAAAAATAGTATATTGATTTATTAGGAGTAAAAATGGCACTTTTTTTGGCGAGGCTGTACGTTTTTACTCCGAAGTCTAAGTCTCTAATACTCAAAAGTAATTTTTACTCCGAATAGAACATGCTATTTTTTTCAAACGCCACAAATAATTTTTAAACAATTTCAAACGTTCTAAATAATATCAACATGATTAAAAGTCATACCTTGTATGTAATTATATATTGAGAAACTATGGTTACGCTTGTTGAATTTGACACAATAATATATTTTCGTACTTTTATGCTTAGGCGTTAAAGGGCTTTACTTTTATGTCTAGGCGTTTAAACTACTTTTTCATTTTGTCAATCACGTCGCAAAAATTAATACCTTTGTGACGTTTGAAAAAAAATAGCTATAACATTACACAATTCTAAGATATATGAGGTACGTTTTCTTATAAACAACATTTTAACAACAATAGTAATGACATTAAAGCTGTACGCACACTGGCGCGATCACGGTCGCGATCACGATCACGATCAGGGCAGCAATAATATGAGCGATCATTCTAGCACACACCAACGCGTTCACGTTCACCGCCGCACCTATATGTAGTGAGCTATCCTGTAGGAATGATCGCTCATGTTATCGTTACCCTGATCGTGAACGTGATCGCGACCGTGATCGCTCTAGTGTGCGTGTAGCTTAATGGAAACACATTAATGCGGGTGTTTTGTATCATTTTATATACAACAATACAGGTTATGGACCATGCAATTAAAAAACGGCGTCACAGCGGCTTACGTAATTACTAGGAACAATACAATAAACAAAATCAAAATATATGTCTTTCTGGATATATTTACGTTAATTAATCTACATATTGTATATCTCAAAATTTTTATTTATTTAAATATTAATTTCTAACAAAATTTTATGTAAACCCTTTATAAACAATATATACACTCTATATTTTTCTCGGGTAAGATTTCGACAGACGATGACAGAAAAAAGCAGATGACGTCAATACCAACCTCTTTATTTCACTAAAAAAAGTTTCTAATATTTTTTTAAGTTAACTATGGATAGGTTTATATATTAATCCATCGTGGATCGTCTTTTAGTTTGATTAGTTTATGTCAAAAATGAGAGATCATATTGAGAGTGACGCAGCGGTGAACGATGCATGGACGCTGAAGCGTATAAACTCGACTTAATAAAAATTGTTGAGGTTTGTCAAAGTCTTGCCAAATTATATGTTATAAATTTGTATCAAATTATGTCAAATAACCAGCATTTTAAAAGATTATAAACATTTGCGAATTGTTTTTGCATTATGGTTTATGTGATTACCTGCTTTTTGTGTCTTTTGAAGTGGAGGAAAAATCGAGGGAAAATGAACTGTAGATCCAGAGCACAGTTTATAGTGAATTTTAAGTTATTCTTTAGTTAATAACCAATAAAGTTACCATCAGTAAAGTTTATATACCATCTCGTATATGGTACTAAAAACAGGAGTAACTGTAAAATAACCAGGTCAAACGATACGTAAATAGAACGGATAAAATTCCGTAAGTGTTATTACTAATAAAATATTTTGTTTTATTTATGTTGAGTTTTATTTATTCCTGTGCAATATTATTTTTGTTATTTGTACATAAGTTATATTGATAAATATAATACTAAATGCAGGAAATTTCTTGAAGCTTGAAAGTAAGAAATAGTTTTATTTCCTTGGTATATTTTCTGGTATATGGTGTTTTATTTAAAATACACCCTTGTTTGTTTTGTACTAACATATACCGTAATTTTTTTTAAATAAAACAACTCGATTAGATTTTTTCAGTTTTATACAGTTTCTTTCTCATAATATTTTTAAGTAATCACTTGTCACTCAAATTTTAAATATATTAATTTTCTACTATGCATTCCAATTGTATCAACTTATTTTTTTGTAGAATAAAATAAACTACTTTGAAATTAAAACATATCTATAGTCTATAAAATGAATAACTTTGAATTTTGACCGTTATTTTTTACCATCATGGCAAATATAAAATCCCTCTGTCAATAAAGTTACTGATATTGTTTAAATTGAGTGACTGAACGAATCAGATAGGTAACTCTTTTTACTTTCGTGAAATAGAAAAGGAAAATTATAAAACAAGTCACAATTCTGCCTCTTCTTGCAAAAATCATCACGAAATGGCATAATTGTCAAAAGTCAAATGTCATCAGCTTTTGACATTTCTAAATATCAGACCAATGCCGTTTTAAATAGAACAGCCTCGAGCGAGATTTATGACGTCACGCTAGTTAGATACTACGGATTAATAAATTTGTTGTAGAATACATGGAAAACATAATTATTCCTCGTGTTTTTGGTTTGTATTTTAAAAATGATATAGTTTACATGAAATATACATAATATACAGTTAATAAATACAATATATTATATATCTATTTATAGTAATAAATACTTTGGCAAATAAACTATGAAACTATACAAATGCAGCAAATGTTTTACAATATACAAATAATGAATAGATATTGGGTAAAATGTAAAATATATTTTAAATTTTGGTTTGAAAATCGATTTAATTTAACAAAAAAACATTCAATATCTTCTAATAGTGATCTACTATTATTTACATTAACAAAATTTATATGTATATTTTGCAACTATCAATGTTCGAAAAATTATATTTGCAAGTAATACCATATCATAGAAAAAAAGGCGTCAGCGATGGCTATGAAATAAAGATCGCTGTCATTTTATATGTAACATTATTCTAAGATTTTTGATTTTCTTGGGATTTAGGTTCGGGAAAAACGCTGATTAAGTTTTCATTTGGTTTTTCATTATTTTTGTTGGTTTAAAATGAAAAAAAAAAATCATATAACACAGCACTGATTAAGGCCATAATGTTAGCCGAAACGTTTTTTTTAAACCAAAAAAAATAATGAAAAACCAAATGAAAACTTAATCAGCGTTTTTATTTATTAACTGTATATATATATATATTTATATTAACTTATTTATATTAACTGTTTATATTAACTGTATATTATGTATATTTCATGTAAACTATATCAGTTTTAAAATACAAACCAAAACGAGGAATAATTATATTTTCCATG